CGCCAAATGCCTCGCGGAAGTGCGGTTAATATTTCACTTGTTCTATCGCCTATGAAAGTCTTTAGTTTAACAGGCGGTACCGAAAGCCATGACATGACGAGTGTGGAATCGCTCCAAGCATACACATTGGGATCCCGATGCGGAATAGTTTCGAGAATTACATTAACTAGGCGAGCCAGTAAGTGAGCACCACACAACTCTACTCTGGGTAAGGAGATAGTCTTTAAAGGTGCCACTCCCGTTTTCGCTGCGAGTATTGGAACACTGTTCTGACATCATCACCTTCAAATCGCAAATAAACTGCTGCCGTATATGCTTTGGTCGAAGCATCTGAGAACCGATGAATTTCTATTTTGTCGACATGATTCGGCACAAACCGATGAAGTTTTATTTCACTTACTTGACTGAGATCCTGATGATATTTTGCCCACGTTTCTGCCAAGTTCGGAGGCAAGGCCATGACAAACCAAAGTAACTGAAACATAATTTTGAATCGAACAATGATAGGAGCCAAAACACCAAACGGGTTAAATAGTCTAGAAACATCCGATAAAATGTGCCTTTTGGTTAATGGTCAGCTGGGCTTGCGTTCGAACACTATAAGTTAGTATGTCTTCTTGAGGTTTCCAATAAAGCCCAAGAACTTTCGTAACTTCTTCCGGAAACATCTCATGCTGTGCAGGCCATTCCTCCTCCAATTGTGTGGAGTTGGATACCCATTTGCTGAGTTCCATACCCGCCATTTTCAATAATTGCACCAGCTCCATTGAATAGAATCGAGAAAGTGCCCCGTGTAGGGCATCCGAAAAGGTTGGCATATTTTCTTTCTCGTTGTATGTAATAAGTGCTCTTCAACTAATGCGTCACCTAAGTGGGCAAAAATCGAAAAATTCGTTATCTGCAATGTGAACGTGTTTGCTGTTTTTGAAAAACAATTTATCCAATAAAAAGAATTAAACAGAAGTTTCCCTAAAAATTAAATTATATGCCGCCAGGAAGCCACTAAAGTCGACTAATTGTATACTAAGAATTTTAATAAGAGCATCGCCATGCATAAGCTCTTCACGGAAACAAATGTCAAAAACACATTTTTTAATATAAAACGTTGGTTTGACGTTTCTTATTTCCATTTAACTTATAAACAAATTTTAAACTAATTTTTTAACAATCTAATTTTTTAATAGGTGGCAACTCTTAAAAAAAAAATAAACCTTCTATTATCCACACATCATGCTTTTTAATCTGACACTTCATTTTTGAAAATAGAACGAATCGTGCAGATCTCATGGCACTGACAAAAAATGAAAAATTATTTTATTCATTAGCAAAAAACGCAGTACTTCAGAAAGTGCAAACAATTAGCAAGTTTTTATTTCTTCTTTCTAAAGCTAAAAACCCGTACTATTTAATAAAATAATAAAAAATAACCTATTTTACATATATTTTTTATTCATTTCATTAAAGTTTAGCGTTTTTTGAAATTTTGTTTAAAAAAAATGTTTTTATGGAATACCGCAGGGACACCCTGTGTTTAATTTTATTCCTAAACTTGTATTCCTTCAATTCTTTAATGGAAATCCACCAAAGACCAGGTATTCACAATGCGCCAAATCTCGGAAAATAGCCCGCGAAAATAGTGTCGACAATAACCGTCTACTTGTCGATTTCAAAGCCGCTTTCGACAGCACGAAAAGAAGTTGCCTTTATGCCGCGATGTCTGAATTTGGTATCCCCGCTAAACTAATACGGCTGTGTGAAATGACGTTGAGCAATACCACCAGCTCCATCAGAATTGGGAAGGACCCATTCGAGCCCTTTTGACGAGGTTTCAGGCAAGGTGACTTTCTTTATGTGATTTCTTTAATCTGATGTTGGAGAAAATAATAAGAGCCGCAGAACTGAATTGCTCTGACAGAATACTTTATAAGAGCACACAACTTCTGGCGTATGCCGAAGACATCGACATTATCGGTAAAAACAAGGGCTACGTCTATTCTGCCTTCTCGGGATTAGATAGAGAAGCAAAGCGAATGGGCCGGGTGGTGAACGAGGACAAAGCGAAGTATCTTCTGTCCCCATCCAGGTCTAATCCGTACCCACAAGAATCACTTTTGGCCACTCCCAGGTAAATGGCAGTCCAAAGTTTATCCCACTTACGTGGAATTTTGCAAACGGAACCAGCCTCCTCAAAAGCTTTTCCCGCTTACGTGGACTTCTGCATACGGAACCATCCTCCTATTTGTACATTTGCTTTAAATTAAAATCCTTGAAATCGGCCCAGCAAATACCAAAATCGCCTAAAAACGGCTCATTTTGTTGGCAAAGCGGCTAACAAATCGGTTGTCTGCTAAACCGAATTTTCTAGGGCTGTTTGCTATAGCAAACGGCTAAATCTAGCCAGAAAACGGCTAAACTGGCGACATTGTTTTTAAGGTTTATTATCAGGATAAATGAAAAATGTTCAGTTTTTACACAACGTTTCAGAAATATAAATATACGTGCGACTGTAACGTTAAAGACAAAAGTTTTGAACATATCGATGGCTGAGTGGAAGGTCGACCTGTCTCGCAGTCAGTTCGATAACGTCATATCTCTGAAAATTTTTCAACAACGCTTTTCAAGAACGCCCTACTTCAGAATTTGATCGAAAAGCGCCCTATCTCAGAATTCGGTTAAAGAACGCCCTATCTTATATGCCGATTAGTAGGAAATTGAGTAGTAAAGTCCTCTTTCGTCGTACAAAGATCACGCTCTCTAAGTCACTCATGATGCCTGTGCTGGTGTATGGCGCGGAGGCATGAGCAATGAAAACATCTTGGAGTTTTGAAGAGAAATATTCTGCGAAAGATTTATGGACCTTTACACGTTAGCGGTGGCGACTACCGCAGACGATTTAACTATGAGCTGTATCTTTGAGTTAAAACCAGCCATAAGCTTAAACAGGAGCTGAATACGTGTACAAAGGAATTACGTTTTTTGTTGCGCGCGGAAAAAGAAATAAGTACGCAGTCGATCCTCTAGTCCTTGCCTGCCTCGAAACAGACTGACTACTCCCTTTGGCGAACACTGAAGCATGCGAAGAGGCCCGTTCTTCGAGAAGCACCGTTACGTACTCAGAACGGAAGCTGAGCGAGAATGATGAGGATAAAGCAAACGCTTTGCATGTCATCTTTCACAAGTCTTTAGACCCAATGAAGGCGCCCATCCTTCCAATATTCCAATACCTCCCAGTAGACTTACCACCAGCGTTGCCAGGTTGACGTTTTTAACGTCATTTGGACGTTTTTTGTATCCTGTTGACGTTTGGACGTTTTTTGTGTAAAAAATTACATTTTTTAACTTACCAGTAATTTTCCTGTTACTAAATCTTGTAACTAGAACTGATTTTAAATTATTTTCTTAAGAAATCTTTACAAGCTTTGTTTTTTGCAGCAGCAGCTTCAAAAAATATTTATTCTTTGGATACAGATGGCTTAACCCTTATTTAAGCGCATAAAGAAAATGACACGCATGGGGCCCCTTATTGAAAATGTAAGGAATATAAAAAGGCTGAAATATTCCCCCTTATTCTAGAACCCGAATTTTCGTAATTCGTAATTCGTAGCTACGTAACGAAAAATCCACATGTTGAAACCCTTGCGGAAACATATGCAGCATTGCCAGCTATCAGTTGTTTTTCGAAGAAAGCTGAATGAAGGAAAGCGGTAGACTTCGGAAAGGTGAAAAAACATATATTTAATTCTTGCT